ATAAATAAAACCTTTAGCTGCACCCTAAAAAGAGTTAACTGATTGAATTATGACTGAAGATCGTCAGCTGTCTTCCTCTTCCGTGTTTTTCCTCCAATACGTAAAGGCTGCAGCACCTTTGACAACTTCTCTCCACATATCAAACATACCGGTATGCCAGCATCGTTTGCTGTGAAAGCATATAACTCTAACCACGCAGAATTAAACCCTCTGTGTTCCTCCGATACTTTTATTTTCTTTGATTTATCCATAGTTCGCTCATCGAGCCGGGGGTCAGGTTATTCACCTGCAAGAGAAGACGCTGGTGCAGGACCGCAGCAGGATGTGACGCATCTTTTAGTTGACCTAATTAAAACCGATTTGTTTTTTATTTATGTCACAGTATCCCCTAAAAATACAAGATACGAAACATTTTCAACCGTGCACAAAATATTTAAATTTTATTTCCTTCTTATTTTTGTCTAAGCTCAAGGGAGCCAGAACGGAGGGCTTAAAGAGCCGCGGCCTAATGTTAGCTTTTTACTTGTGGAGAATGCACTTTTGCTTTAAAATCATGAAGTGGTGATGTGGAGATTATCCTGCTGAACCACACATGTAAGTATCATAAACATGTGTTTGCCACAGATCTTAAGTTCTGCAATATTCCAAAATGGAAAAATTCCATTGCTTCTTGTCAAGGGATCCGTTGCAATGCTAACATCTGAGTCTTCCTACACAAATACATCTTCCTTCACTGCTATTTTCACCTGCATTACATTATTGGACTTGAGAGAGATTCATAAAAAGAAAAATGGTAGCAGAGACAAATTGGCCTCGTCGTTTATACGGGTCAAACTCCTGGTTATTGTCAACATCTGAGCAGTTCTTCAAATCTCTCTTTTACAGAACATTTGAAATAGTTTGAATCCTCATTTAATCCCCATGTCTCTGCTCCTGTCTCTTCCTATCCCTTATAAACTCCCTTAGTTGGCGGGTGCTGCCATCCTGGGCGTTGGGATCTGGGTGAAGGTGGACAGCGGCTCCGTCCTCAGCTTTCTGGGTCAGATAGAAAATGCACCTGCAGAGCTCAGTCAGTTGCTGAATGTGGGCTACCTGCTGATAGCAATAGGAGCTCTGCTGCTCGTCATCGGCTTCCTGGGCTGCTGTGGAGCCGTCAAAGAGAGCAAGTGCATGCTGCTGCTGGTAGGTTGATATGCTGTTTAAAGATGCTTAGAGAAATATATTGACATTTTGGGAATAAACCTCTTTTTTGCTGAGCTTGATGAGCTGATTGAAACCTCTTTCATATAGTATAAATAGAGCTAGTGCTAGCATTCAGCGAGCTATAAAGACACTTCAGTATTTGTTCAGATTAAACTAATTATAGGTTTTGTGTTAGTTAAGGAAATTCAAAGGTGCTGGTAGGCTGAATCTTTTCCTTTTCAGACAGAACAAGGCTAGCTGTTTTCCTCTTTTTCAAGTCTCTGTGCTATGCTAAGCTAACTAACTGCCGTTAGCATGTTCTCACTTCTGATAAGAAAGCGAATAAACATACTTTAACATTCCTCGTAATAAGCATGATTCCTTTGTTACCATCGAAATGTGGGAGAAAGGAGAAAACACACTTAAAGTATAGATTAATGATGGATTCATACAATATGTCCCCACTTATCCCAACAAAATATGTATTATTCTGTTATTTTTCCTAGTTTTTCGTCATAGTCTTGGTGGTCTTCATAGCGGAGGTTGCGGGAGCGGTGGTGATCTTGGTATTCAGACCCTTGGTAAGTTAACGGAGGAACCTTTTCACTCATCAAACAACAAGATTGTCATAAAAAGTACTTCCTTCTGGTCCTTGGATGCAACACTATCTGTATGTCCAACAACCCAGTCTCACGGCATTTTGTGTTATAGACAGTCACGTAATTAATGTAATCTATTGATTCTTGTTCACCAACAAGATTTTTTCATTTTTTTCGTGTCACACAGAACGATTTTTAAAAGCAATTTATTTCTATTGGTAGTGTGTCTCGTGCCTGCACCACGTCTTTTTTTCCAGTTGGGTCTTGGAAGACCGGAAGCTGTGTGGTTCATAAAAACATTTTCTTACTCAATATCTTACCCTAAGCCTAACCCTATCCCTTTGATTTTAAATGGTATAATGTCGGAGTTTTTTTGCCGTCCGCGAGGAAAATAAATGGCTCAGAGCCTCAGAATACTGAAATCTGTATTTTTTGTCATCTGTTTTTCCTTCTAATTTGTTATTATTTACATTGCTTTTAAAATCGTTCAGTGTGACACGAAAAAAATGGTGAAATCGTGTTGGTTAACACGAATCAATAGATTAATTTCATGACTATAACACGAAATGCCGTGAGACTGTGTTGCTATTTCTGTAAGTGAAAGTCCTGAGTTCAATATTGCACTTAAGTAAATGTACAAAAGGATTAGCATCAAAATATACTTCAAGTACAAAAGGTCGGAGTATGTATTCCGCAAAATAAACAATTTCTGAATAATACAAAGTACTAGCATGAATATTATGAGCTTAAAGCACCAAATGTAAAAGTACTCTCTCTTTTCAGAGTCATATATTATAAGATAATATTGTTTACATTTGTTTTTAATAACTAATAAATTCAGAACATGTCATATCATTTTAATGTTGTAGTTTGTCAATGTGAAGACACTTGATAAGCATTAAAGTACCGTATCATGTGTTTTTATATGAAAAGTAACTAACTGTGTATATTACCTGTAGTGGAGTAAAAAGTACTTAATTTTCCTCTGAAATGTAGTGGAGTAGAAGTATGAAGCACCAAAAGTACAGGTCTGTTAACAATAATACTTAAGTATAGTACTTGAGTAAATGTACTTGGTTACTTTACCCCACTCAATTGTAGGCAGACGAGTTGTTCACCAAGTTTGGCGAAGCTGCAGTTAAGAACATCCGTAAAGACTACGGGAAAGATTCTGACGTCACAGGACTGTGGAACTCTACCATGAACACGGTATGAGTAATTCTGCTGAACTAAATGTCTTTTCACACCATGTCTCCAATTTTTTATGTAACGTATACTCTCTTTGTGCTCACATCAGTTGCAATGCTGTGGATTCTACAATTCCTCAGACTTCGTGGGCTCTCCGTATTATGACAAGTATGGCCAGCTATTCCCACCACAGTGTTGTCCAGGCCGTGTTGGTCCGTGTAACCAAACGGTAGCAGACAGTGACACGGTATGTGCTCTAGGACAGTGCTTCGCTAACTTTTTTCAGTAATGTACCCCCTTTGAAACATTTTCTCAGCCAAGTACCCCCTGACCGACCCCGAACATTTTTTGATAGAAAAAGCCTATTTAAATAATTACAATATAGTGATGTTCCATCAGTGTGTGATTGATTAACTCCGTCATGCATGAATTACAACAAACTAAGCATTATGTTCATCTTTATGCATGAAAAAAAAGCAAGTTTCTCAAAGAATGTTTAACAAACCAATGAACAAAATTATATATTATGCAAAAACTATCAAATACAATACACACATTTGACATGTTTATATGAGAACCCCTTTGATGGTTCTGGGAATATTTTATGTAAAATTGTGTTTTCTATTTAACTTATTGTACTAAGATTACTATTTTTGTAATCATGCTTGGTATTTTTTTAATTAACCTTTTTTCTTTTTATCTCACGTACCACCTGCAGTACCCCAACGTACCCCTAGGGGTCCGCGTACCCCCACTTGAGAATCACTGCTTTAGAAGAACAACGAATTAAAAAAATGTATATGTAAAAATA